GATCGGGTCATCGTTTCTCCCGATATTGAAACCATACACCCAATCAGACGCCGACAATTCAAAACTTTGAATTGATTTATACGAAAACTAATTTTAAAATAATGCCTCGGGTAACACGCTAATAGAAATTAATTAAAACAAATTAAAAGGAACACTTCAACTATCTACTGACAAATTAAACAAATAAATAGGTATATATGCTTATATAGGTTATTGTTAGGATTGTACATGGACGGTACTGTAATATTTAATTTAAAAAAAAGGCAGTGACAGATCCAGAGAGGCTTTCTGGACTTCTGTGGTGTAAATATGAACTAAATTTGTTGAAAGAGTTCATTAGATCGAGTGCCCACAGACGGACGGACTTGCGCATGCACAGACAAACTGACAAAAGTCATTACGATCTACCTACCCCCTTCTAGAAACTAAGTGGGAAGTTAAAAAACATGTATTTTATCTATTTGAACACATGAAACCCAATTCCCTCATATTTGTCTCTAGATCCGTCACTCAATAATAGTAAGTTAAAATGGTTATCCAATATCAGGTTACTGTAGTACACAGAAGATACATCATAAATATATATAAATAATTTATCCACAATTTATTTCATAAAATCATTGATTTATCAACAGTTTATACAACCAAGGAATTATCCATAATTTATTTTCCTCCAATTATCCTTAATTGGTAAATCTAAAAAGGTCACAACTGTACAACTCATGATATAACAGGAATATTTAGACGCAATACAACACAGATCGATTAGAAATGTATATTGATCAATTACACGAAATAATGAAAGAAGAATAAATCTCTTACAGCCAAGTAATTACAAAATGAGACCTCACTGGTTTTCGCTGTTACTCCTGGTTGTCAGTCATGATTAACGGTATCAAGAAATTCAATGGTATGACTAGTTCATTCATGCTCATGGAAATTGAGGCCTAATATTCAACTATATTGAACATTGCCTGTAGCAGTATAATAAAACATGAGTAAATCACCTTTCACAACACTATACATCCTTTCCAAGATAATTTGGAACATGTGTCACCTTATTTTCCACTGTCACGTGGTACATTTGAGGAGCATGGGTACTTATGGTGTCGCTGCAAATTACTAATATATTTCTAACTTTACCCGAGTGATTTGATTGATAATTTTAGATGGAAAGGTATAAAACTTCACATTCTTCAGAAACATGTTTAAACTTACAGTGAACCACACAATAGCTAGTGTTTTGGCATATTTTTACACCATCAGTCCGAAAGATTTCAACCAGAACTACCCCTGATCCCCAAATCTCAGAAAGATCAAATAACTTTGGTACACACCATGTAAATCTGAACATAATAAATGTAAGTGATATGTGTTCAAAAAACACTGCTAAAACTTGAAGTGGAACCTCCTTCATCTGAAAAACACTTAACTTTCAGTAATTAGAAACTAAACTATGAGCATAAAGTACCACTTAATATCACATTTCTGTTAATATCAGGATTTGATTAACACCCTTTTTCTACTTATATATTGTATATAAACTGTTTATCTTATATCACGTGATATCTTATGAACTCCCCTTAATATCATGGTCAGGTTTCCAAACCTATGACATGTCAAACAACTTGTATAGAGTAAAATCTTTGAAAATAATGCTGAAATATTTATCTGTCATGGCATTGAAGCCAATTCAGATTAGTTTGGTAATTAATGAAACTGCCGCTGAAGAAGTGTCCTCAACTACTATGTGTTCAAAAAGTAAATACACCTGAAATTCATACAAATTCTAAACTGCTTTATATGCATCTTCAGCTTTGTTATGTTGTTAAAAGTAATATTAAACTATTTATTTAAACAGGTTCATTTTCACAGAAAAAAAATATGTAAATATCACATTCCTCTTTATAGTACCACATTTCCCTCTGATACCAGATAATGACACATGATATTAACAGGAATTGTTTTTTAAATCCTGCTTGAAATAAAAAAAAAGATTCCAGGTGTTCCAAAGAAGCAATACCAATAATATTTACAGTAAATAAAAAAAAGATGTCATGTCTGAAAATGAAGCATTTTATCACAGTTAAAAAATTGTTACATACTGTACATAAATGTCAATTTAATACATGTATGTGTTACATATACAAATGTTCATTTTAATATGTATGGCAGGACGGTTTCTATAGCAACACATAATTGTACATCTATTTACAAATCATACATTTTTAGTTATTATAACAATAAATCGATGTATTATATTTTGAGTATGAACATATTAAAATGACATTTTTTAAATAATTCCTATAAAATTCTCGGACAGTATTTCAGATCTGTCATCCATCTATTCTACAATAAACATTTAAAAAATAAAATAAAAAAAATTTGACGACATAGATATGTTTAACAGACAAGTATAATTTGATCGGTGGAGAACATTACCAAAATGTCCAATATTGGAACTGGGCATTCATAATCAGCAAGAATATAAAGTTGACTAAGGCTAATTCAATCAAACATACCAGCAGTTTTAAGTTGACATTCTAAGCAGCTGAATGGAAAGTGAAACGGACAAACACATAGAATTTCATATCCCCCCGGCTGCATTCAGGATAATTTTTAAGGAATTTATGGCATATAACCAATTTACCAATCAAAATGAAGCAGTTTCATAAGTTATGTTACATTGATGATTAAACTTGGTCCATACTTGCCAGTATGTGTAATGTGCATATCAAATTTCTTTGAAATCAGGCCATTTTTAGGGCAATTGTTCAACAGAAACTAAAAGTGTGACAGACAGATAGATGGGTACACCCAAATTACCATCCTCTGTTTTTTCAAGAAAAAATGGGAGATTAAAATTTCAATTAGGTTATTTGATAACAATATATTCCAGTTTTCACCTGCTATATAGATCCATCAGAGCAAACAAGAACTATACATAATTAACCCTTTCACCACTATAGACCATAATGGACTCATCCAGATGAAGGTAGGGTAGAGTTTACTCCAGTTACCTAGGGGTGAAAGGGTTAACATTTATTTAAGTGAACAGTACAGCTCATTAAATCGAAAAACATTTAAAAAAATAAAAACTGTGAAGTGAAAAGCAGATCAAATTTTTTAAAGATCTGTTTTGACTGACTGCCTCAATGTTGGACCCCTAGGGAACCTCAACACCAAATACCAGCTTCCCAGTACAAATACTGAAAGTGACGTTTACGTTAATGAATATCGGACCCTAGGGAACCTCAACACCAAATACCAGCATCCCAGTACAAATACTGAGTGACGTTTACGTTAATGAATATCAACTACTATATTCTGGCAAAGCTGAAGTCGACACCAACACCAATGCTGGAGACACTACACAAGTGCCCCCTAATCTATGAAGAGAAGAGTTAACACTTTCACCACTGTAGACCATAATGGACCTATCCAGATCAATGCATGGTAGAGTTTATCAAAGTTACATAGGGGTGAAAGGGTTAAAACATTCCCAACAGACACTGGTGGGTATTATGTTTAGTATTTGATAATCAAGCAAACCCGCTATATTTTCAGACTCTTACATCTGAATTCATTTTTTAAGTGATATGAATCAAGAAAATAACTATTCCTGGCTTTTAATAATGAGGTAATGTATACATGTAATTAATTAGAGCAAATTTATGTAAGCATATAAACCAGTTAATTGAATTAAGATCAAAAGGAATGCCATGGTTTAGTCGGACATGAAATGCTACTTTTTCTAAAATAGTTATACAAGGATTATTTCTTATTTCTTTAAAGTTAGAAACGGTCCAACCACTTGCAAACATATCATTATGAAAAAGGTCTTAAAACTCTGCATCACTGCCCTTCAGTGGTTTCTTGTTCAAGCAGCTCTGATATCATTTTCAAAAAGTTTCAAAATGTGTATATCATTGGTGTAAAAAACAAAACAAAAATAAAAAAATTACAATTTCATAATTCAGCAGTGTAACAAAATAAATTTGTTCAATCTTTTTTTTTACTAACTTAATCATTTCAAAATATGTTTTACCTCCAACTTTTATAATTTAGATTCTTTTCAAAAACGGCCAGAATAGTTTGTATGAAAAACGTTGGTATGTACCTACTTTTAGTGCTCTGCGGTATCCGAAAACCAACAAACACATGATTGTCAACCTATTCTAGGAGTAAATACTGTGTTACAGTAATTACCATAAAAAATGTGAAAACAATATTTGGTTTTTGTAAAAATCATCTTTGGCCTCTGCTAATTAATCTGTACAATCCTATAAAGAATTAAACTAAACTAGGCCTAAAACTATCTGTCGAAACTATTTTATATACAAATTGTACCGGAGGTAATAAATTAAGAAAGACATGACATATTCAATTCTAAAACTTACTCGTGTAATATTTGTCCCATCCTAATAAAACCTACCTGTAATCATGTTAGTTTACTTAAAAAAATTATAGAGCAATTCAATCAATTGCTAGGTGGCAACGCCTACCCGCATTTGCCAAGGGAGATAACTCTACCAGATCAGGATTGTTACGACATCAGATTAATAAACCCTTTCACCCCTATGTAACTTTAGTAGACTCTACCATGCATTGATATGGATGAGTCCATTATGGTCTACAGTGGTGAAAGGGTTAAAAACAAAATCTAAAACTAAATGATCCATATGCTTATTCATTTTGACAAATTCAGAATAACATTTTGACAAGAATTCTCAGTAAGGCTGTTTAAATCTTCAAGGCCTACATATATATATAAAAAAAGAATTAATTTCGAGGAGAAAGCAATCATTTTCATATATACACTCAGCACTTTTAAAAACCCTCTCATAAAAACACATCAAAGTACAAAATAAATAACATCAATGATGATCAATGTCTATTCATGTTAACAATAAACAAATATTAAATCTCTGTAATTAATTTTGTTTTGAAATCTAGTTCAATAGGCATCCATATTTAAATCATTTATAACCTACAACATCATAAACAATTGTATATGATCAACAACAAAAATATCACAGACAAGTTATATATATATTGTTGCTAATGACTAACCAGTGAAGAAATATGCAAATAAGCATGTGTCACCAACCAATCAGTGTGACATGTATATGCAAATGAGGCATCACCAACCAATCAGTGACATGTAATATTATATGCAAATGAGTAAAAAGTGTCACCAAAATGGAGCTTAATGAAATATATAAATTTAGGCACACTCTGTAAACGGTTGTGAAACCAAGACTAAAATTTTAAAACACATAAACGATGAGTTATATTCAAATGACATTTGATCGTCTAAAATTAATTTATAAAATACATAACATTCATAAAATTTACAGTGTATTCTTTTGATATCATAATATGTGGACAATTTCAAACAAAAAATGGACCAATTGTTTTGCTTTAACTCCATCAGATCTGTCATCTGTAATTATGAATGCAGTTGAAAAAATTGTCAATCAAGTTAACTTCTTCCCTCAGTCAGTGTCTTACAGGACAATTTGGCCTTTTTCTGTAAAAAGTTGTCCCAGAAACACAGCTGTCTCACAATTCAACCATTTTTGTTGGGAACAAAGGTAGCTTGATTATTGAGCTACAAGTATATATAACTCTCGTTAAGAGTCGGGATATGTAAAGTTCAGCAAGGAAATGCATGAGTTATCATGAGACAGGGAATAAAAAAAACCCATAGTTACAAAAATCACATTTAAAGAACCTTGAACAGAGAAGCTGCCATGATGAAAGTCAAAAATGCGATATTTTCTTGTCTCAACAGATACAGTGTTAGTGTTTATAGCAATAGAAAATGGAACAATTGATATTTACAGTTATGTTATATTGGTTAGAATATAAAATGTGAGTAATTTACTACAAAAATATTTAAATTGCTTTCTTGAGTATTTGTCATCGTCTATCATCTGACAATGTTAAAATGTCGAGGTGTGGGTTTCTAACTTTCTTTCAAAACCGCGAGAATAACGACAAATATTAATCCTCTCTAAGTTGTGTATTATATAGAGTTAGGAACTGCAAGACCTGAGATGTGATTTTGCCGGTGAAAGAAATATTAGACCCCTAGTAGTCTTTGAAGTGTAGCCATATATTGAATTTCAATTCTTTTATAGTTATCAAAAAGCAGGCCAATACAGAGAATGTTTGTTTTCCGGACGAAAATAGATTCAAAATCAAATTCTCTTTTGTTCCGTTAACATTTAAGAGTTAATGCATTTTTTCCCCCCAACCACTTTAGCTGTCATAATTTTGGTGGCCACCTACAGTGTGCAATGTCCAGTACTGACCGTTTCATATGTTGTCAGAAACCACAGTAATATATGTGATGTCCAGTTCTGACCACTGCATACAGTGTCTTGACCACTTTAAACACAGACAGAAGTGGCCACAGCTTGTATGTTATCTGAAGCGACAACGTGTGTGATGTCCGATGTTGATCCCTTTATGCATCTCTAGACATGGCAATGTGTGTGATGTCAGAACTGATGCCTGTTACACTGCCAGTCAGTAGCACTAATTTTGTGCTGTCCAGTTTTGACCGCTTTACACGTCCTGAGAGGCGGCAACATGTGTGATGTCCAGCGACGGAGAAGTGACCGCCTGTCGCTGGTTCTCCCTCAGCATCGCCTGTATGTTGTGCATGCTGTTGTGGATGGAGGTGAGCTCTTCACGTACGTAAGTAGACAGTTGGTCCATCTGGTCCTGTAGCCGCGGATCCTGAGGAACGGTAGTCCTGCAGCAAAGACAGACAAATCGTTACACGAACAGATAAACCTGCTTATGAACCCACCTTTGTTAAGAGACCACCTGTGTTAAGAGACCACTTTTAATGTTCCCCATGGTAGTGATTTTCATGAACTGAACCTGTATTAACCCTTTCACCCCTAGGTAATTTTGGTAGACTCTACCATCAATATATCTGGATGAGTCCATTACGGGACAAAATGTTACACAACTTCTCGTTGCAAAATAGGTAAATCATGACTATTCATATCACTTCTTTCATCCTATTGACTGTAACATTACGATATCGTTAGCTACAAGTGTAGGATGTAGTATAAAGATAGTTCTTAAGAATATGCTCAAAGATATTTGAAAGTGAAAGTAGAATTTACATACTGATCATTACGACGACAAAAAACCACAACTTCTCGAATTTGTCCAACACGCTGATATAAATAACAATGAACAAATGATTTCAATTATTAATTTATCTTTTTATATTTATATTTTTCAGACAACATAAAAAACGATCGAAAACAGCTTGATCGGGTATTATGATATATCGGTTATTATGATATATCGGTTATTATGATATTTTTCTCTGGCAAATAGGATATCATAATAAGCGGGTACTTCCACTGTACAAGTATAACACTGTAAGATTCCTTGTAGTATCAGTAAACCTTGATATGACACCTTTTATTCTTTTCTTACTGCAAACATATTTTGAGGTACTATTATTTATTTTTTTCCCTTAAACGTTTCCTTTAATATAAAAGAGCTAAACTCGTTTACAATGCCAAAACTTTGCCAGACAAATGACAGCGCTACAGTGAGGGTTTACTCTTCACACAAATAGGTTTACACACAGGAGTAAAGTAACATTGAAATACATACAATTAAAATAGCACACAAGATATTACACACACATATATTTTGAATAAACATATACATTTTTGTAATACAAGATCTGCAATTATATTTTTCATGGCTAAGCACAACATTTCGTGATTGAGAACAATATTTTTAAAGTTTCAAAGTTTAAAGGTGAATTCAAAACATCAATGAAGATTTCCAAGCAAGTAATTAAAACAACAAATGAAAACCTTGAAATCACTCACTCAACATATCCATTTCAGGTCATTTCTAAACTGACACAGAAATCAACTAGAACTGTAAGCCAAAGGCTAACTAATACCCCCGCTGCTATATAAACCAGAACTGTAAGTTAAAGGCTTACTAAGGCAAAGCATTGCAAAGCAATCCATTGTCTCCAACCAGTAACAAGTATTTCGCAAAAAGGGGCAAAACTCCATCAAAAAAGGTTGAAATCTCAAATTAAAATGCCAGTGCACAACTACATCAGATACGGATCATTCATGCAAAGTTTCAATGAAATCCACTTGTTTGTTAAGGAGGAGTTGCGTCCACAAGTATTTCGCAAAAAAGGGCATAACTCCATCAAAAAGGGTCGAAATTCCAAATTAAAATGCCGGTGCACAACTACATCAGATACTGATCATTCATGCAAAGTTTCAATGAAATCCACTTGTTTGTTAAGGAGGAGTTGCGTCCACAAGTATTTCGCAAAAAGGGGCATAACTCCATCAAAAAGGGTCGAAATCCCAAATTAAAATGCCGGTGCACAACTACATAAGATACTGATCATTCATGCAAAGTTTCAATGAAATCCACCTGTTAATTAAGGAAGAGTTTTCCGGACAAGTTACTGCGGACGACACAGACAGACAGACAGACAGACAGACAGACAGGGTGATTCCAGTATACCACCCCTAACTTCGTTGCGGGGGTATAATGAGAAGTGAGGAAGTTGTTTGTGACTTACTTTGCTGACCGACTGGTAAGAAGACTACTTGACACATCGCGTGGCGTTACGTCCGTCACGGTCTGCATGAGAGAATTTTTGTGGTCGGAGGCCTTGGTTACGGAATCTTTGATGTTGTCAAGTTCATCTATCACCTTCTCCAGTCTGTAGAATATCATATATATAATATAGACAGTAATACATGGAGGATTTCCAACAGTGTCTTCAGTAATACCAAATATATTTCATCGATGTTGCTAATATTTTGATATCTATCACGAGTGCGCAAAAATATGCATCTGAAAAATTGAGCTTGTTAACTTATACTTAATATTATGTACATTTATACCCATAAGTTCTTTGGAAGCTTAAGCCAGTTCATGACTACAGAACTTTACTATGATAAGGCATGGACAAGTTTGTAGAAATAGTAATTAAAGTATCATTTTCACCTCTCCGACGTGTTGGTGACTTTGGAGTCGAGCTGCTCCCGTTTCAACTCCCGTGTCGTGTGAAGATAATCCTCCACAGCCTCTCGTTCAAACAATGTGAGACGGGTGTTGTCCCTGGCGGACAGGTGAAGCTCTGTAATTACCAACACACATATACTCACAGATACATAGGGTAATAACTACGGCCAAATCTGATCATGCAACAACCTCTATTAAGGGACCACCTCTATAAAGAGACCACCTATGTTAAGAGACCACCTGTGTTAAGAGACCACCTGTGTTAAGAGACCACATTGTATTGAATTTTTTTTCTAAAATGAACCTGTATTCAGAGGCAACATGACTGTGTTAAGGGACCACTGTTTGGACTTCCCTTGTAAAAGGTTTGGTAGAATTGTTTAAATTTTTGGGTTTCCTTATGTTACTTCAAATGAGTGAAAAATTATGAAAATGTGGAAAAGATTTCTCTATTTATGATATTAATGAGACATTTCAAGTAATACTCTATCATTTGTCTCAATTTTGTTTGCTATTTTTTCTCTACTTTCGGTCACCCCTCTTTAATTTCACAAGGTCCCATAGGACACAATACCATAACCCCTCACCTAGATCTGCTCTTTGTAAAATCTTGTTTAAGCACATCTTAACCTGTCAGTTTGCTTATCAAAATCATTTTCTCAAAGGTAACACGATGATAACTCTGTATAATGATTCTCATCTTTTTGTCAATATCTATCAAGGTACCATTTTCTTTTTTTTCATTACAAATAATTGTTTAAGTATCCTCATTATTGTGCCCAATCCTTTCATACCCTCACGTTTCCTTGGACAAATGGTGGGAGTATAACAATGTGTAATATTATACGTGGGAATAAGAAAATATTATGCAGTTAACCCATCCACCCCTGAAGACACATCTGAACTCTTCAAATTCAAAGGTTGGAATAGTTCATTATGAAATTTCAGGGGGCGATTAAGTTAACCCTGCCACAAGGGACCATCTCCATTAATACACCACCTGTGTTAAGAGGCCACTTGTAATGATCCTCACTGTAGTGATTTCATTGGTAAACTAACCTGCATTAGGAGACCACTTGCTGGACTTCCTGAGGGTGGTCTCTTAACACAGGTAGCAGGGGGCTAATGTTTTTCAAATTACTTGTTACTATACAGTCACTTACTGAAATCGTCATGGTAATTTAATTTCCGAAAGCTCTTGTGCATGAGCCAACGTACTCCTCGGAAAGCATGGTTAAGGATGATAAACGGAGGGAAAACGGATGGCCGCTCGTAGTACTCGTAGACAAGCGAGAATTTGTAGAACCGCCACACCTTCAGAGAGTTGTCTTGGACCTTCTGAAACGTGTCGCTGAAAAATGAAAGCTTTTCATTCAATTTGTGATAACACATTCTCCTGCTATATCATTCAATGTTTAATTTAATTCACATGGTTACAAAATGAAACCACAAAAACCTAACTTCTTTAAAAGAGTTTTAACTAAATGTTTTTACGCCTCGAGATGTACTGTTTAACACAAAATTTCTCACGTAATTCCTATATGTTATGCACCTCCATATCCTACACAAATTTTTGTGCTGAAAAACGCTGCAAAAATTTGCTGCTCCTATATTTTACACCCTGAACTTTTACCATGAAAATAAATCTCCAGACTGGCCCAAAAACTGAACAATAAAACATAAATTTGCTTTGAAAGTGCTTATGCCCATGTCAAATGCTTCAAATCTAAAATGAAAAAACTTTTTTTATCTCAAAGATTGACTATTTCTTTCAACTATCTCTCCTATTCATAATATTGACATTTTCCTCCGACTACGTACTGTACATTAACAAAATACCAATCTTTATCCTCTTATATCATTACTGTGTAGTTATATAACATCACAATACTCACAACAAAATACCCTCAATTTACAGGTCCGACAACATTGAAATGACCTGGATATATATATTAAGAACAAGTTGACCGGTGGTATATTTACCTGAACATTGCAATGAGCAGATTGACCAGTAAGATGTTGGTCAGCAGCATGTAAACGGCCAGTAGTAATGGCACAATTGCATTATTCTCGGCACAGCGGGCCTGTGCTCCGGACCGCCACAATGTCTCGTTGGTAGTGCAAGAACTTGGCTCCTCACCTGTTGATCAAGAATTATCTATATCATAACGTAATTTTGAACAGTCCGTCACAAGTCTGTACAGCGAATCTTTTATTCTTTTAATTTCGGAAGGGTAGGGTAAGGATTTAATACACAAGAGGTCCATTTGGCCTGTAACACTTGTCATTTTTTTCACAATTTTCTTACCTTCCATGTTCTCCAGGAAGAGCTCGCCATACATTTGCCAGTAGGGGAGGTAAACCACCTGTCTGAGAAGTTTCCAGGACGGAGGGTCATTAGGGAACAGGTTGGCCTGGTAGGCAATGCCAAAACTCAGCACAAACACGGCAAGAATGGCGAAGAAAAACATCAGGTCAGTCAACTGTAAACGAAATATAAGAAGTTTTATTAGATCTTGATCCAGACGTGATAAGCATGTTTTTTTTTGAACAATCAAAAATCCATTCAAAATTTCATTCAACATGAACGTATGTTATTCTCCTTTCTAATACAATATGCACTGTAGTTATACTCGGTCTTCTGAGATTTCATCATCTACCAGGATTAAAGATATTATCACTTCCTATTAGATTTTATTGATGATCTACAATTTTTTCCTGGATTTGGTGGCAAACATCGCGATGGGTCCCACATGTGGCACAGGAACCACTTGCCCTTCTGGAACATAGGGCTCCAATTTTCCTTTTTTATTATTTCCATTCAAAACAGGTTTTCCTTTTGTTTTGTTGTTTCCTCAGTACCTGTTTTAATCTTTTCAAATCAACTTTGAATTGGGATTCTGTCATTGTAATTCAATGTTTAGACATATATTTTGTTATCGTTTATCTTAACTTAAATCTCTTTTCTGTCTTAAAATGTTTTATTGAAGAAAGATTCCGACTTTTTTGGTATACTCTTTTCAGGGTACTTTTTTTTTTTTTTAATTTTTCAGTACTTTTCCACATAAAATTGTTTTGACCAAAATGAAAAATAAAAGACACAAAAAACATTGTTAATAATTTTCATACAAAATATATATATTATAGCTAGCAGATATTATGTCAAGTTTTCTAGGAAATGTACCATTTTTGGTACTACATGTATCACTTTGCACAGTAGAAAAACGTCTCACTCACCATCTTCCGAATCATGATGACCTTTGGTCCAATGTTTTTCTCAACAAAGAAGGCCTGCATAAATCGGAGAAAGTACATGGCCAGTGTGATACTGTACGTCATTCTGGCCCAGGTGAAGTTGTCCTCGCTCAGCACGAACCGCAGGATCACCGACAGCATGAACAACAGATACATGATCAAATCGAACCGATTCCACACACTGGAGTACCAGCTCCGAAGCTTGTGAACCAAGGATCTTTGGTCGCGTGTCAATACCTGTGAATAGGAAGGTTGAATACATAAACAGGAAATATATCATGCCTCACATGACACAAAGGTGAAGATCACATATAAGAAATATGCCAAAGACCATACTGAGACCCCTGGACCCTACTGCCAGTCCAAAGACCATACTGAGAACCCTGGACCCTACTGCCAGTCCAAAGACCTCACTGAGACCCCTGGACCCTACTGCCAGTCCAAAGACCACACTGAAACCCCTGGACCTTACTGCCAGGCCAAAGACCAAACTGAGAACCCTGGCCCCTACTGCCAGTCCAAAGACCCTACTGAGACCACTGCACCCTACTGCCAGTCCAAAGACCCTACTGAGAACCCCGGACCCTACTGCCAGTCCAAAGACCACACTGAAACCCCTGGACCTTACTGCCAGGCCAAAGACCAAACTGAGAACCCTGGCCCCTACTGCCAGTCCAAAGACCCTACTGAGAACCCTGGACCCTACTGCCAGTCCAAAGCCCCTACTGAGACCCCTGGACCCTACTGCCAGTCCAAAGACCACACTGAGACCCCTGGACCTTACTGCCAGGCCAAAGACCAAACTGAGAACCCTGGACCCTACTGCCAGTCCAAAGACCTCACTGAGACCCCTGGACCCTACTGCCAGTCCAAAGACCCTACTGAGAACCCTGGACCCTACTGCCAGTCCAAAGACCACACTGAAACCCCTGGACCTTACTGCCAGTCCAAAGATCACACTGAGACCCCTGGACCCTACTGCCAGTCCAAAGACCACACTGAAACCCCTGGACCTTACTGCCAGGCCAAAGACCACACCAAGATCCCTGTACCTTACTGCTATTCTAAAGATCACACCAAGAACCCTGGACCCTACTGCCATTCAAAAGATCACACCTAGACCCAAGGACCCTCTTGTCAGTCCAAAGACCACACCAAGACCCCTGGATCCTACTGCCAGTCCAAAGACCACACCAAGACCCCTGGACCCTACTGCCAGTCCAACAATCACACCAAGACCCCAGGACCCTCTTGTCAGTCCAAAGATCACGCCAAGACCCCTGGACCCTACTGCCAGTCCAAAGATCACACCAAGAACCCTGGAAAATCATCTCAAGGCTCCTGGACCATACCACCAGTCTCCAGATCGCACTAAGACACTTGAACACTATTGGAACCCTGACATGACAACTTACCTGCCTGACTTCCTCTATCACCATGGTGATGGTCCAGCCCCATGTGACATACTCTATATTGGAGGGTGAGTTGACGCTGGACGTCGGATGTAGGTTCGTCAACACAAAGTATGAAAAGATTGCAAGGAAAGCGAGGTACGCCACCTGTAAACAAAGGCAAACAGTCATAAATAGGTAGACAGTATTATACTTGATACAATCTCAAGTCCCAGTAAGAATTGTTTTAATAAACATTTTGATACCTGACTTAAATTCTATCAAATCTTTTATTCTGTATAATTCTATCTGAAGGCCAATGTTACCTTGTGTTTCCAAAGAAAACCCCTTGAAAATTATTTTTGCTTATGTGAAATTTTTGTATCGTCGATAAGTTGATACAAAATGGTAATTACACAGCAACTTAAATCAGTCTGTCTCGCCCAGAAATGTTTGTTCAGCAACCTTCTATCCAAGCCAATTATTCAAGAAAGGGATAATTAAACTTATTGGAACAGTACAATGGCTGTTTTCAGGACTAATTAATTCTCCTTGTTCAGCCAAAAGTAAAGCGACACAGCGGCATGTCTGATATACTGGAACAGATTTATTTTTAAAGATGAACAAACATTGTATGGTGAAGAAGTAGTGCATTTACCTCCCTATGTTGTACTTACTGTGTACCAATAGAACTTGGTGACTGGCGCAGTTTAAAAGTTATACAAGATTTACCTCCCTTTGCTGTACTTACCGTGTACCAATAGAACTTGGTGACAGGCGCAGTGTAGAAGTTATACAAGATTTATCTCCCTTTGTTGTACTTACCGTGTACCAATAGAACTTAGTGACAGGCGCAGTGTAGAAGTTTTCCAAGATTTGCTTCCATTTGCTGTAATTACCGTATACCAATAGAACTTGGTGACTGGTGCAGTGTAGAAGTTTTCCAAGATTTGCTTCCATTTGCTGTAATTAACGTATCCCAATAGAACTAGGTGATAGGCCCAGTGTAGAAGTTAAACAAGATTTACCTCCCTTTGTTGTTCTTACCATGTACCGATAGAACTTGGTGACTGGCGCAGTGTAGAAGACATACAAGATTGACCTCCATTTGCTGTACTAAACGTATACCAATAGAACTTGGTGACTGGTGCAGTGTAGAAGTTTTCCAAGATTTGCCAGCTTTTGTTGTTATTACCGTGTTCCAATAGAACTTGGTGACTGGCGCAGTGTAGAAGTGTTCCAAGATATACCAGCTTTTGTTGTTATTACCGTGTACCGATAGAACTTGGTGACTGGCGCAGTGTAGAAGTTTTCCAAGATTTGCTTCCATTTGCTGTAATTAACGTATACCAATAGAACTAGGTGATAGGCCCAGTGTAGAAGTTAAACAAGATTTACCTCCCTTTGTTGTTCTTACCGTGTTCCAATAGAACTTGGTGACTGGCGCAGTGTAGAAGATAAACAAGATTTACCTCCCTTTGTTGTTCTTACCATGTACCAATAGAACTTGGTGACGGGCGCAGTGCAGAAGTTTTCCAAGATCTACCTCCTTTTGTTGTACTAACCATCTACCAATAGAACTTGGTGACAAGCGCAGTGTAGAAGTTTTCCAAGATTTCCTTCCATTTGCTGTACTTAACGTATACCAATAGAACTTGGTGACTGGTGCAGTGTAGAAGTTTTCCAAGATTTATCAGCTTTTGTTGTTATTACCGTGTACCGATAGAACTTGGTGACTGGCGCAGTGGAGAAGATATACAAGATTTACCTCCCTTTGTTGTTCTTACCGTGTACCAATAGAACTTGGTGACAGGCGCAGTGTAGAAGACATACAAGATTGACCTCCCTTTGCTGTACTAAACGTATACCAATAGAACTTGGTGACTGGTGCAGTGTAGAAGTTTTCCAAGATTTGCTTCCATTTGCTGTAATTAACGTATACCAATAGAACTAGGAGATAGGCCCAGTGTAGAAGTTAAACAAGATTTACCTCCCTTTGCTGTACTTACAGTGTAGAAGTTTTCCAAGATTTATCTCCTTTTGTTGTAATAACCGTGTACCAATAGAACTTGGTGACAGGCGCAGTGTAGAAGTTATACAAGATTTCTCTCCCTTTGTTGTACTTACCGTGTACCAATAGAACTTAGTGACTGGCGCCGTGTAGAAGATATACAAGATTTACCTCCCTTTGTTGTTCTTACCATGTACCGATAGAACTTGGTGACTGGCGCAGTGTAGGAGTTTTCCAAGATTTACCAGCTTTTGTTGTTATTCCCGTGTACCAATAGAACTTGGTGACAGGCGCAGTGTAGAAGGTTTCCAAGATTTACCAGCTTTTGTTGTTATTCCCGTGTACCAATAGAACTTGGTGACGGGCGCAGTGCAGAAGTTTTCCAAGATCTACCTCCTTTTGTTGTACTAACCATATACCAATAGAACTTGGTGACAGGCGCAGTGTAGAAGTTTTCCAAGATTTGCTTCCATTTGCTGTAATTAACGTATACCAATAGAACTAGGTGATAGGCCCAGTGTAGAAGTTAAACAAGATTTACCTCCCTTTGCTGTACTTAACGTGTACCAATAGAACTTGGTGACTGGCGCAGTGCAGAAGTTTTCCAAGATTTACCTCCCTTTGCTGTACTTACCGTGTACCAAAAGAACTTGGTGACAGGCCCAGTGTAGAAGTTAAACAAGATTTACCTCCCTTTGCTGTACTTAACGTATACCAATAGAACTTAGTGACTGGCGCAGTGTAGAAGTTTTACAAGATTTATCTCCCTTTGTTGTACTTACCGTGTACCAATAGAACTTGGTGACTGGCGCGGTGTAGAAGTGATATATTGCAGAAACTAAACTGATGCCGTCCTTCCCAGTTCCTGCCAAGCTGACTTGGTACAGCTTTCTCTTGATTTGTTTTGATCTACTTTCTGTTTCCGGGGCGACCCTGCTGTTACTGATGATCGCAGTTCCCTCCCCTGCCATGGCCTCGCCAAGGTTGTCATAGTCCAACGCATCGTCGTCATCCAGGTACTCGGTGGGATTTTTGTTCGAGGTAAACTTAATGGCCGGAATAAGGAATGGTATCACCATAGCAGCAAGTATCTGAAACACAGTTTATAACAGTCAATATTTTTTGACATAGCTGAGCTAATATCATACAACAACAGAAATTGGAAGTCACACGTTTAAAATAGTTGTATGGCCCTCTATGCCTCCACATATGTGAAGGTTGTCTTACAATCAAATTACCACAACTCAAAGCTGACCTACGGGCAGACTGACCTAGGTTTGGGAGACTGACCTATGAGCAGACTGACCTAGGTTTGGGAGAGGGCAGACTGACTTAAGTTTGGGAGACTGACCTACGAGCAGACTGACCTAGGTTTGGGAGAGGGCAGACTGACCTAGGTTTGGGAGACTGACCTACGGGCAGACTGACCTAGGTTTGGGAGAGGTGCATTTGAAAGTTGTACAGTAGGTTTATTCTTACAGAGTCCTAGGATATTGTTTGGGCATCACATGACAGACCTACCATACGGGCCTATGTCAATAGTTACCCATGACACAAAAATAACTTTGAACCTGTTCAAAACTCTGGGCTTACGACTGCATTTTTGCCGCGAAACCACCTGAGTTTTGCACAACACACTCAATGATGTGAAAGATGTTATGTGCCGTTTAGTTTTTTGGAGAACACCTGCCTTATATGTAGAGGTATAGAGAGCCATGCGTCCTTTCCACACGCTGTTCAGTTTGGTTTGGCAGCTGGTGTGATCCATAAAGTCCATGAGTTCGTGGGCGTCAGCTAGGAGCAGGAGGGTAGTGTTACCATAGTCTACGAGCTGTCGTACCAGTAACTGATGGGCGAGCGCCTTGTTATGTTTGTAACAGTGGGATAACACGTCCACGGCCAGTTTCTCAAACATCCTGTGCAACAAACATCATACAAGACATATATATACTGTACGCATATACTTATCTTAGCCCAATCAAATTTTAGCTCATTATGAAATTTTAACAGATTTGGATATTGATAAGTTGGCACAACCAAAATGTATGACATAAAAAAAAACAATATATGGAAGAACTTTTATTAGAATAATCGTAATATCATGGATATTCTATATTATTATAATTTCTGTTAAAATCTCGTAATCTGATTGGTTGAGAAAGTTGTGAACATTTTCAATATTACTTCCTCGTTTTACAAAGATAAAGAAGACAGGGTGTTATTCCAAAAAATATCACATGCGCAAAACGTATGCGTGCACGGTTCGTCCCAGTGCCTAGGGTGTTATTCCAAAAAATATCACATGCGCCAAACGTATGCATGCACGGTTCGACCCAGTGCCAGGGTGTTATTCCAAAATTGTTACATGCGCCGAATGTATGCGCCCCTGGTTCATCCCAGTGAAAACTTTTCTGAAACGTTTGTCGACCTTTAAAAATGGTGAAGTGGTGAAACACCTAAACATGACACTCGGTATAATAAAATAAAAATCACATTCATTAGAAGGGCGATATTGCATATTTTCACCCCTCGGAAAGCATTGTTGACCTCGGCTTCGCCTCTGTCAACAATGCTTCCTTATAATAAAAATATGCAATATCGCCCTCTCATGAATGTGATATTTATATAATAGCATACAGCAGACACGCATATCATTTAAATTCGTTGTATTTGATTTCGTGGTTCAAATGCAACCACAAAAACCACGAATGTTTATACACAACGAACATTTCATGCTGTACAGTATGGGAGAAAACAAGGGAGGTAACTTACAAAGCACTTTCCTCCAATGATACACTGAGCTCAATCTCTTCCTCCCCATCAGCTACCTTAGCAAGACCTTTCAAGAGGGCTGCTGCCAACAGGGCTGTACCTGAAATAATACAACATCCTTAGATACTAACTCTACACTTCCACATGATACATATTGTAGTTATTGTAATAACAATAGATTTTTCTTAAAGTCATGAGAAAATGTGATATAAAAGCAACTGTGATATAAAGGGAAATGTAATATATTATCGGAAACATTATTTTATCATTTTCAGTCAAAAGCGGGCCAAGGTCATTTTCAGAAGGACCTGTTCAGTAATTCTTGAGAAATAGTGATAGCAATCTTGAACTGCCGAAATTCAAGATGGCCGTCAGGTAGCCATCTTGTACCATCAGTCTCAAAATGATACATGCACAACAACGGACAAAGGGTAAATTAAATTTAAAATTGAGAAAAGATCCCTCTGAAGATGATCTGATGATGGTGGGGTAAAATGTCTGTATTTGTTTTTAATGTCATATTTACAGTTACGATAAATTCACCGTTGTAAGTCACTAAACGTGAGAAAGTTACACAGAGGTAAACAATTTCTTTCATAGCAACAAACAAATCTAAAACAGTTCACAAAGGAAAAGTAATTTTCTGCAAGACACTAACTCTTTTTACATGTTTTAAAGTCCTATCATCTTCAAACTAGTCTAGACAGTTAAATTTTTGTTTGAGATTTTGCCTTACCTAAATGGTCCTTTCCTAGCTTCCAGAAGAGTTTAGCCAGGTCCATTCTATTGAGCAGTAGCGCCCATAGAAATAACTCCCTCTCTGGTAGCTCAAAATCATGTTTGACATGCCTCCATTTTTTCCCAGCCATTGACTTTTCCGTCGCTGAAGTTAAAACAACACCTCACTATAGGTACTTTCTCATAGTCCAGGAACCTCATGAACTAACTTGAAGGATAATTCAACAAGTTTGTAATCATTAAGCATCATTCAATCATAAGGAAATTCACCAATTTTGTCAATATCTGAAACAAATTGGGTGGTGCAGTGGATAGCGCAATCCCCTTTTACCAAGATGGCCGGGGTTTGATTCCCCACTAGGTCGTGAAAAGGTATGGGGTCACCTGCATGACCACGTGGCTTTTCTCCGAAATGAAGACCCCTTGCCCGCTACTAACTGGCCAACAAGAGTGATTAATATCATTTAATAGAACTTGTTTCGCAATTGTTGTAAAATAAAAAAAAGTTTTTAAAAAAGAATCTGCAACAAAATTACAACCCAAGCTAGATTTGTCAGACAACAGCTAACTTAAACATGATAATGTACAAGTACAAATATAAACTTGGATGCTTACCTTTGTCATCTACGATGTACCCCATACAAGGATCCACGTCGCACACTTTAAATCTATCAGCTGAAAATTAAAAAAAAAATAATATGGTTTTAATGCGTACTGACAAAAAAATAATAATATGGTTTTAATGCGTACTGACAAAAAAAAATTATGGTTTTAATGCGTACTGACAAAAAAAAAAAAATATGGTTTTAATGCGTACTGACAAAAAAAAATAATATGGTTTTAATGCGTACTGACAAAAAAATAATAATATGGTTTTAATGCGTACTGACAAAAAATAATAATATGGTTTTAATGCGTACTGACAAAAAAAATCTTAATTTTTTCAGTAAATTGCATTTGAATCTGCTCGAGAATGCCCAATAAAACAACCTTGACCTTATTAAACCACCATTTTATCATCCTCACGAAGCAATTTACTCTTTATAAGTATTCTCATAATACAAATTTGACTGTATTTCCAAAACTAAACTGCAAATAAAATCTCATCAGTCAGAAAGAAGTAAATATCATTATTTCCAGTTGTTTTCCATTTGAAAACCTGAATATAAACATGATAGTAATTTGATGTGTGTTTGAACAGAACTCAAATAACAGAAGAGTAAAGATTGTTCCTTGTTAGTAAATTTTGTGCATTCCACTTCGGGCTCTCAAAAAATAAGGGTAAATTATCAAAATATTTTATAAAGTTGAAAAAAAATGTTTATGACTTCGTTTACAAGTTCTTGTTTGCAATTAGCCCCCAAAAAAGTAGGACAGGATAGAAACTAATAAAAATAAATTCAGTTTTTTGTCTAATGGGAAACATCACTTTTATACATGAAAAATTCCCTAATACAAATTTAAAATTGAATTTGTTACATGATATCAGTCGTAAAAGGAGACTTTTGTTATTTACTGGAGGGAAAAAAGAGATTTCCCATAACACAAATCATGACAAGTATAAATTTATCCTACTTTTTGAACCATCGTACGGATTTATTGCCTCGTCTCCAACTATGTGAACAATGGTCTTTCCCACAAGTTCCACCAGTTCTGGCTGGTTGCCAAGGTGTTCTACTGGTCGGCAACAGAGGTAGGCTCCCCAGGTTTGCTGTAAAATAAAACGGCTCATTAATTCTCAGGTAAAAATTTAAAACTGTATATCACAAAATCTTCGCCCAGCCAAATATTTGCCTTTACCCGTTTAATCCATGTCAGCCTAGTGTTAAACTTTCCCTTCACAAGTTATTAATTTATAGGGTATGTTTTGTACTAATATTCGCTGTCAAGGTAAATTCGACCTCACTGGGGAAAATTAACTGCGGCAAAAATTTTACTGTATGCAGTTTTCTGTAGGACTTTGCCTTTTTTGTCACATGTTTTCTTGTAGCAAAATTGAAATCTGCATTTAGAAACACCGAATTTGATTGACATATCAAACAAAACGATTTTACCAGGGTCAGTTTCCCAAAATACCCTGATAAATCCCTTACTTCCTAAGAAAGTAACTTTTAAAGTTTTCTAAATTTAAAGTTGACTAATAAGGACACCACATTACTGCATATGTTAAACTTTGACCAGGTGAGCATATTTAAGTAAAGATAAAAAAAAATATCGGTACCATGCATTATCATACTTGCAAATAGCATGCATCAAAAAATTGAGGAAGCAAAGTTGGAGTAGTTGTGTTTTGTGATTGGAGAACTCGGAATAAGTTCTGTTTAATACATGGACTTAACTCATTCACTCCTGAAGGCACATTTGAACTCTTCCAACTCAAAGGTTGGAATAGTTCATTACAAAATGTCAGGGGTGAATGAGTTAACAATCAATACCTGCTCACAAGAGCAGATAACTCTGCAATACGAAAAGACGGAACACCAGTGTAAACATACAGTGAAAGGTATTTATAATTACACTCCAGTTACACTCTATTCATAAAGCGTAATCCATGTGTGCGATATGTGCTATGTGAACAACATGGATGAAGTATATAATGCCTACCTTGGATTTGTCCTTTTATTTGTGAGGTTGCAAGTTGGTAAATACAATTCAAGATGTAAGCATTGTAAATAAATCTCCATTCTTACTGTATCATCTTTATAGTATTATAAATGTGTAAGGTAGTACAGCATGTATTATCGTTAACTCTAACATCAATCACAGGTATAACGTGTAAGGTAGCATACATCCTTAACTCTAACATCAATCACAGGTATAATGTGTAAGGTAGCATATATCCTTAACTCTAACATCAATCAAAGGTATAATGTGTAAGGTAGCATATATCCTTAACTCTAACATCAATCAAAGGTATAATGTGTAAGGTAGCATATATCCTTAACTCTAACATCAATCAAAGGTATAATGTGTAAGGTAGCATATATCCTTAACTCTAACACAAACCACTGGTATGACGTGTAAGGTAGTATATAACCTTAACTCTAACATCAATCACAGGTATAATGTGTAAGGTAGCATATATCCTTAACTCTAACACAATTCACAGGTATAATGTGTAAGGTGCATATAGATTATAATATGTAGGGTAGTATATATATATCTAAGAGAAAAATGACCAAAAGCTTGTAGTTTGCATTGCATGTAGTGCAGCCACTATTGTAATGTTGTTGAACAAGACACTTTAACCTGATTGTTCTAGTCTACCCAGCTGTACAAATGGATTTAACTATGCAGGGAAGTAATTCTGCAAAAGACTGGTGTCCTACCAAAAGCTTTTCTCTCTTAATAGTATTAAGATTCGAAGTTAAAATTACTAATTAATTATTGTAGATTTCATGTATATGTATCTAAACTCTATAAAAAAGTGCTATGTCATGAATGTCACAATATAATGTATGTTTTTATATACAAGAATAACAGTTCACCTAGCCTGAAAACAGATGGGAAATCATCACAAAGTGCACAAAGATTTACAAAATGGGTTCATCTTATTAGGTATGCTTAAAAATGTGAAAAAGAAAAAAATAACTGGACCCAAAATAACACAGTGTGACTCAAAATCATTCTTACCCCACGGCCAACCTAAATATCAGTAATTAAGTGAATCGACTCAATAAATCATAAAACCATACAACACACACTGACACATCTAAAGTGTGCAAAACAGGCAGTATTATCATTTAGTAATTTTGTCCAAATTATAGTTCTGATGACATTTTGTCTCATGCAAGTGTGAAATCAACATTCACCAATTCACCAACAATACATAGAACTCGTAAAACATCATTTTTCAAGTCTCACTTTTCTGGTGAGAGGGCACACGAATTGTCAACATAATATTTTAATTTGAGATTTGCAGCATTCCCCTTTAACTTGCTAGTTGCTCCGATTCAATAAATATATTTTACAGACAGCTAAGAACAAGTCCAAACTCCTGTGATGTCACAGTCTGAAACATATGGCTGTATTTTCAGCACCTGATTGTAATATCAACATGTGTAATCCCTAACTTTCGTGGCATTATTTATTGATCTACGTATAATGTGCCAGAAAAGTACAATTCTACGCTGGTGCACATTTTAATTATTTCTTTTTTATAAACAATTTTGTACAACGATTGATTATAGATATATTGTACAATTTTGGACATTTTGTGACGGTGAATATGATGTAATATGAACCTAAAAAGTGATAGTGACCAAGGCGGAATACACAATTTAATGATATCATGAATTTTTAACTTTGAGTGCTTAGATCCCTTCATCTACATGAACTATGAACAATTCTATGTTGTTGACAATTTTTCATCCATTTTTTATCTGTATAATCATACCCATGAAAGATTTCCATTGCTAGCCCTACCAATAGCAAGATGTAGTACAAGTAAGACTTACATGTACTTACTTAGAACATTTCAAACCTTTTATGTAAATTTCTATAAAACTGTGCATGCTTTTTTTTTTTGTTCATCTGTGTATTGATAACTGATCCAGACAAAGTGACATTGTTTATTGTTCCAGACAAAGTAACATCGTTTATCAAAATCAGTACCTGTGGTTAGTCTTCAAGAGTCGTAAATCATTACTTTATGATAATTTGTCCATTGGTGTATTGATAACTGATCCTGACAAAGTGACATTGTTAATTGTTCCAGACAAAGTGACATCGTTTATTGTTCCAGACAAAGTGACATTGTTTATTGATCCAGACAAAGTGACATTTTTTATTGTTCCAGACAAAGTGACATTTTTTATTGTTCCAGACAAAGTGACTACGTTTATCAAAATCAGTACCTGTGGTTAGTCTTCAAGAGTCGTAAATCAATACTTTACGATAATTTGTCCATTGGTGTATTGATAATTGATCCAGACAAAGTGACGTCGTTTATCAAAATCAGCAAGCCTTAAAGAGTCGTTCATAGCTATTTTACGATAATTGGCCTAGTCCTACAATCTACATGCTGTTCAAGTTTTATTTTGTGGCATGCAGTGAGGTTGGTTTAAATCCTAGCAGACAAGGAACATTAAGCACAACGGTCAGCATCTCTAGTACAAAAACAATACGCTAGTCATTAATACTGGTCAGCGTGATAAGTGTGGTGGTCAGTTAGAGAGATAGGACTTACCTTGAGGTACATGATGAGGTTGTTGAAGAGTTGGGCTGACCGGTCAGTCTTGTCATTGAGACACTGAAGTAATTACCGAAAATAGTTATTTTATCACATTTTCACAGAGTCTTAATCACAGCATTATAGAAAAAACATATGACTGTAAACATACATATTGAGTGCAAATCAGATGTTAGCTGTAAACATATTTTAGGGGTTATCAAATTTCAGCAATTTTTAATTTGTGCTAATTTAAAAACAACAAATTATGATGACCCTTAAATACTCAAAATGTGCATCCGGAAAAATGGCTGTTATGTATACGACACTAGAATGAAATATGTCCATCACCAAACGGTCTTCAAGGAACCTGTACAAACTGAACCCTGTGCGTACTATATGGATACCTGTATAAACCAGAACTGTAACTATGCCCATGTATATACACCTCTTTGTGTACCGCTATTCGTATGTCAAAAGAAAACTTGTCTAATCTGACAAAAACACTGGTATCAGTGATGGTCAGACAAGAGAGGTTTCACTGAACAGTATGTCAATATCAACCTACATTCGCGTACAGATTCCACAGGTTTTTGACAGTGAGGAAGTCCTTCAATTCCACACCATTCTCCAGGAAAAGTTTGACAAACGTTTTCTTGTTCTGGATCAAGGCGGTCGTCATGGCGTCGTGTAGTGAAGCCTGTTAAGGAAAACTCGGTATAAATACAGTGAGGCTGAAATGATCCAGCGATGAGTGGCTGGATCGTGATACAGAGGCTGGATTTAGATACAGTGGCTGGATCGTGATACAGAGGAATTATTGGGATAATTTTATATAGAAAATATTCAATATATTCCCAATAACCTATTGTGACAACTAGATGTGCAAAACATACTTTAGGGATACACTGTAATCAAATTTCAGCACCTTTTGCGCTAATTTACAAAACGATTAATTATGATACCCAATAAATATGCAAAAAATGTGCATTCAGAAAATTGGCTTTTATCTAAATAACACTGAAATCGAATGTGTCCAGTGATGGCTGGACAATTGGATAAATGCAGCCGAAAAGTGGGACAAAGGGATCAGCGGTGGATAGATAATGGGACAGTCAGATTAGTGACGTCTGAATAATCTCTATCATATTAACTGCATTAACTTCAACAACCATTCATATTCATTTAGAATACCTGACATCTTGGTGACAGGGCCACCTCCTTGTAATATGTGATTGCAATTTCTTATTAAAGGTTGCTTGTATTTTTATTGATAGATATTGTTTTGAAATTCAGGGAAGCTTTTTTTTATGAAAATCAAGCAGGTTTTTTGGGGTTTTTTTGACTGACAATTACTTTACAGAAAAACAAGCATGTCTTTAACCTATTCACCCCTAAAGCCACACTTGAACCTAACAAATCAAAGACTGGGCAAGTCCAGATTATATATGTAGGGGGGAATGAGTTACTATATTCAAATGGATGACAAAACTGTCCAAGTTTATGAAAACAAACTGAAGGAAGTATAAAATTCCATTTCTTTTTTAAATAAGGAATATCTGTGAAATACTTACACCAAATATGGTCTTCTTTGAAGAGGAGAAGATTGTATTTCTGGCGACATCACTTCTGTTCCAGGCCAGGGCAAGGGACAACTGGGCCGATTGGTTGGATTTATTAGCTGTCAAAGAGACAAATTATTTTTTTGAAAGTGAGTTATTAACTGTACAACTTAATATTAATTTTGTACATGTATAAACACAGGGGCCTATAGCATGATCCATACCTCCTCTTGTGTAATATAGCAGAAGTTAAGATTATAAACTACGGTCCCTTGTGGTCAATTACATATAGGATCTTAAATGAGTTTTTATTTCATATGAGATTTTATGAAACAAGTCTTAGGAGTTTTTTTTTTTGCGAGCCTTGGTGAGCAAAAATTAAAATTTTGAGACGAGTTTCATAAAAGCTCATATGAAATGAAAACAAAGTTAAGATACTTTTTATCAGAGTTAATCCAACCATACGTAAAAAAAAATCTATAACTGAAACTCTGCAATGCAAAGCCTCATTCTGGACATAAAATCTTATAACTCAGATCGAAAAAACTATTTCTCTGGGGAGTAGGGTGGACTTTATTATACCTGGAAAGGCACTATTTAATTTGAGTATAATGAAAGCTCACCAATAACAATACATATGTATATCCGCACAATTTGAAGTTTGTGTTACATATTGAGCACATGCAAGAGGTAAGAAGTGACTTATGTGGGCGTGGTCATAATCGTGAGGTCAGAGCGATAATAACTTAACCAAGGGATTTTTACTTCCGGCCATTAAGCCTCATGCAAATTAGGTGTGCAATCATATTATATGTGTTGCTGTGTAAAAATATGAAATGTTAGAAGACAGCCATATTGGGATAAATAAGAGTAATTGAAAACCAATAGATGTTAATCATGTATCATAATTTGTGGATGAGAGTATAACAAGAAAGATACAGTAATACAATTAACATACATTGAAATTAGAATAAATACATCAATATTCAGATAAATACACAAATATTTAAACTACTCAATTAACATACAATTAGACATGAATATTCATATAAATACACAAATATTTAAATTACTCAATTAACATACAATCAGACATGAATATTCAAATAACACAATCACGACCAATTCTATAACCAGTAACGAAGCTTAGTTAGGAATACACAGCAGAATATTTCTGAACGCAACAGGAGATGTATACATTTTCTGAATAGTAGTTTTTCGGATCTCGCAGTATTAAAGCAAGGATTTTTTTCTTGAATAATTGGGGTCAGAATATTCAGCGTTCTACTGCGTATATTTCAATGTTTTGTTACATTTGTTATTTGACATTTACTAAAAAAAAAAATACCACATCATAAGAAAATGTCTTCCCAAATGAAAATTAAAAGCTGCCATTTTTTTGGGTTTTTTTTGTTTTGTTTGAATAATGAATAAATTTCACAATCTCGCACTGAACTGAATTTTTTTTTAAAGACCTAAAAATCTTGAAAAACATTAAAGAGGTATAGTATTGTGTGTGAAAACTAATAGGTAACTCTAAAAAATAAAATTGTGATGAAATATTTATCTAGAAGATCTAGATAATTTTTTAAAAAATTTTAGAAAAAAAAAATTGTGATGGAATATTTATCTAAATCTTCTAGATAAATATTCCATCACAATTATTTTTTTAGAGTTACCTATTATTTTTCACACACAATACTATACCTCTTTAATGTTTTTCAAGATTTTTAGGTCATTAAAAAAAATTTGAGACTCTGAATTTATTTAACTTCAACAAGACTCAAATATTTGTACATGTACAAATGTTTTTAATTTTTTTTTAAATTTCAGCATGTGAGAATTTAGACATTATCACATTTATGTAAAACAAAAAAAATATTAAATATCCCCACAGTAACAATATATCCCAACAATTAACATATTAAATAAACACCTAGGAATACAACCATCAGAAATATTTAATATGTCCACTCCAATGTACCAATAAAATCTTTACAATGAACTCAATCACCCCTGAAATTTCATAATGAACTATTCCAACCTTTGCATTAGAAGAGTTTAAATGTGTCTTCAGGGGTGAATCAGTTAACAGATTAAACAAACATGTTACTTTACAATTTAGATAGTCTAACTTGAATGCACCTTGTTAAGATTTGGTAATTGTTTTTTTTTAATAATTACTTAAATCTTATACTCTAAAACCAAAACAATTGATACAAGTTAAAGTGTACTGTAGCTACAATTACTGTATACAGGTAGATTTTTTGCAGCAGTTTTATTTCTGCAGTAAGGTGAAGTTTTTTTTACCTTAAATGTAGTTAGCATAATTAAAATTTAGCACAAAGTACCAAAAAATTACTTTTGATTTTAAAAATTGATCCTCAACTGTCTTGGTGAAAGGCTAGTGCGCTAACCACTGAACTACCTGCTATTTTTACATAATTCTTTTCCAAATCTTAGAAATGAACTTTATAAAGTCAATCAAAATAGTTTTAAAGAAAGATTTCCACTAAAATATCTAAACAGTATTTCTGTGACAGTCTTTTTTTGTAGAATATTTTTACATTAGGTAACACTGCAGATAACAATTAGAATTCCATGAATACAAAACTTCATGACCATCAAAACAATACTGCAAAATATCGAAGATGTTTACAGTACACACATTTCAGGGATTTATTTTGGGAAACAGACTGGAGTCCAAACTCAGAAAAAATCAGAAAAATCAGAAAAATTAAGGAATTTTATCATTTTAAAATGAAGCCATAGAATCAATTGTTTTATCACGTGACATCAAAAATGTCTCAATTAATTTAACTCATAAATAATTTTAAAAAGGGAGACAATTCTAAAATGACTTTTTTACTTTCGTTTCATTTCCTAGCAACTTAATTTTTGTCTTCTGTTTTCTAAACAAAATGGAGGAAAAGGGGGAATCAGTTTCAGTACAAAATTGATCCTTTTTAAAGACCTCAAAAATAAATCCCTGCATGTCATATTAGGCGTAAATTTATTATGAAAAGCTTTGTTGTAATTGTCATAAAAACAATGGCCCAAACAACATGGGTATTACCATCCTCACTATCCACAGTCGCTGAAAAATGGCAGATAAATATCATACATGTGTGGGCGGTGTTTTAACACATACATACATCAATCTGTTCTCAACGTCACTTACTGGGCCATTTATCATGTTGTAATTGATAGTTTTGTGTCGGGAACTATCCCCAGGAATAAATTTAAGAATTCCAAACTACCAAAGTGTTTTTATACTTTACACATTTTGGTGTACTTTTCAAATTTTGTATTAATTAACAACAGAAATTCGAATTACTTTAATCAATATCAAAATGAATTTTACAAGCTTCCTCCTTTAGGAACTCTTTTGTAAAAGAGAAGCATGTCACAGTCAAGTACGTCCTTAAGGTCAATTGGTATCTACTTCCAGAGTAAATAGCATCTGTACTGAAGCATACTGCAGCAAAACAATAGTAGACTTCAGGGTTGTTTTTTAAAATTGTTAAAATCCAAAAGATACCTGGGGCATGGCTCAGAGTTTTAACTCATTCACCCCTAAAGACACATTTGAACTCTTCCAATTCAAAGGTTGGAATAGTTCATTATGAAATTTCGGGATTGAATGAGTTAAATTCTACCCCTAGCTACAAACAATGCCTGGTATATAAGCTAAATTCAAGCTTGTTCATGTTTTGCACAATGTGCAAGATAAGCCTAAAATGGATTTCATTTATGGCATGAAGCATATATTAAAATATGTTTTTAAAATTAATATAAAAAATAAATAAAAAAAACATCAAAACTGACCTTTCAACAAGGCATTCAAGATGGCTTTATCCAGGTCTTTGTTTTCAGCATCACCTAAGTTGAACACAGTTATCTGAAAAATAGAGAGAACTTCTGAAAACTCTACATCACAATTATGTTTGCTTTCATAATTTATTATGTCACATATTTTTTTTTTCATTTTGATTTCTGCAGCTGTTCAACTTTCTGGGCAAAACTTCAGTAGTATGTTATGTTTTGAACTATAAAAGTTAACTATGCAGTTTTCAACCCAAAAAAGATGATTAAAAGGACATTAAGGTGGGAATCGCAGCCTTTAAAATTAGTATTTTACAAGTATTGACACAATGTCAGCCGTGGAAGAATTTACCTCGTCGACATCATTCTAACTGTATGTTTAATCTGTAATGGATGCTTATCAGTGCCACCTGTTTCCTCCAACTTGTTAATACCTCGTCGTGAGGGAGTAAAACTACCTCATGAATTAGTTGCTTTTCATGTAAAATTGTAATTTAAAACACCTGTACGACGTGGATGCCCCCTTGTGGGTTGACCTTTATTATATAGCAATGGTGACCTTGGCACCGACCTTGGAACCCCGATTACAAACATATCCAAAGGATTCGCATACTCGACCTTTGTATGAACGTTCGTGAAAATCTGTCAGAATTAAAGTCGGCAGAGTTACGAAAATGAATCGCAACAGGGCGGGATGGACACGGGTAGCACTACATACCCCTCCCCGCAATAAAATGGCAAGGGGCATCAAAGGAAGTTTTCGTCAATGTGAGAAGAACATGTGACGAAGTGATGTGGAAACACTGTACCATTCTTCGTGATTTGAGGCAGGATTCCAGCTGTTTCAGGCACAGAGATATCTTGGCAGGTTTGTTGGTCTCACCAGGTTTCCACTCAAAGTTGTTGGTAGCGATTTCCTCCATGGTTTGCTGGTAGTGCGGAGGAAAATGGCTCCTATCTTCACTGTGGAATAGAAAGGCATTTAGTAAGTAAATGGGCGGATTGGTCGAGTGGTTAACACTCCGGCCTTCTAAGCAGGCGGCTGGGTTCGATCCCCGAAGTCGCCGTACGCATGGAATATTAGAGAAAGTGTTTTTCTCCTGCCCACACAACTCCAACAACCCAGGTGTAGTATAAAATGGTCTGGGGCGGGTGTTGTGGTATCTGTACTGTAGCATTCAAGTGAGGTGGCACTATAAATGATACCGTTGGAAGCACGGTCCCACTACGAACAGAACACGATACATCTCCAGCACACACACAGGCATACACATATAGGGAGATATTAGCCCGGTGGCATAGGACTAGTAGTTAGCGCCTGATAAGGCAGCTCCTGCCAATTCCTCAATATTGTATTGATTAATATATATATGCTTATTGCATTGACTGTATAAAATTGTATATCTATGTACTGTAAAGCACTCTAGAGTGGCTTATGTTAGCTAGATAGGGCGCTATATCAAATGTTGTATATTTTATTTATTTATTTAAGTCATCTGTTAACAAAACAAGAAAATTGCTGACATGTGACACTACTTTGTCTCAAGCATATGAGTTCCTACAAAGAGCTAAACCATATGGCTGATGATAAGTGATTAATGATTTGACATTTTTTTATTTGATTATAACCCTTGGTTGTATTATTTTTCATTTGGTGCTTGATAATTTAAGACTTATAAGCATTGTGAAACTGAGAAACACCTTGGAAATGCTTCACAAACTTTAATCCTTCTCTAGGACTTTGCTCAGACAGACCAATGTACCTTAAGGTCATTGGAGTGTATTGATAAACGGAAACAGGAAGTACATCCCTAGTTGAAAATCCAATGTAGGGAGACAGTATCACAATTATTTCCGCATATTCTGTTTAATATTAAACTGATGAATATTGTATGTTTATTATTGACAGAACAGTGTGTTCTCTCAATATTAAAGTATTCCAAAGCAATCCAGGTATTAATTCAGGGTTTTTTTTATCAATGAGTCACATGTGTCCATTTTTCTGTACTTCTGGAAACCGGCTACGTATTTCACTACTGTGAATTTTTTCAAGAACGACAACTCTTGCCTGCAATTACTATGTGTATATGGTTTTATTATAAAATGTCAATTTTCATATCGTGTATAGAGAATTAATTTTACACAATTTCACCATTTATTAAATTGATATACATTAATGCAATACTATTTTATGTCAGTATCATTTTTATTGACATTATTTTGTCAAAATATTGTGTCTTTCATTTTTTTTTCAAAATTCACTCCTTTTTACATAAATTTCCATTTAAAATCCTGTAAATTCTGACAACCTATATTGTTTTTGTTGCAGAAATTTTTCTTTACTTTAAAGCAATATAACTACAAAATTTGAAGAAATTCTACTGAGAAATGGTGACACAATCCTATTACCTTAAGAGGGTCCTAGAGGTTGGCATGACAATACTGAACTATACAAATATTGATCAAGATCAAAACATCCAGAAATTTTATTCTGTTTGAATTTCACATTTGTCTGTGTGCATGTTTATGTATTATTTACACTTATTCGCTGATGAACATTAAGTAAACACCGTTTTTTTTAAATTTATTTCACTCACTTCATGATGTCCTTGGTGAAGAGGTAACCAGCGGCGATGAAATCTGCCGCCCTTCCAGTTCCCTCCAGAACTAACACAGGAATTCCGTTTTTGATAGACTCCGAAACGGTCTTCATGGTCCCGACACCCCCTTCTACGATCAGAGAGATGACGGGTGTGTTCACCTCTGTAACAACGGAGACAAATAGTCAGTAACAGTTGGACATAAAACAATAAACTTGATGATCTTTATTGCAGCCTCTACATATACAGGATACACATGTCCCATGTGAAATTGTAAGACTCTTTTTATATGCTATAGGGGTTGGATAGAGACTGTTTCTCGATACATCCCCAGGTGATAATAAATTTGGGTCAAACATGAGGCTCTGCTAAGAGTTTGAACCCCATTTATGATCCATGGGGAGGAACTGTTTTTTCGCCGCCACAAAGTAACGGAAGCGAGACTAAGGTGTTGCTTTTCCGTCGAAGGCGGTGGCGTCAACATCAAGTTTTTGCGTTTAAGTTAGTTTCTCTGAAAGTGCTAGACCAACCAAACTTGAACCATAGATGCATCTTAGGTAGTACATCTCAACCCATGCATCAAATGCTGGATGCAGCCTACCTTCCATGGTCCATTGACTTTGTCAGCATCTTTTTTTTGTGTTTAAGTTAGTTTCTCTGAAACTATAAGTGCTAGACCAACAAAACTTAACTTGTGCATTGATGGTCAAAGCGGGAAAAGACGAGACAGATCAATCTGAATGGCTTCTTTATCTACCTACAATCACATACGAATTGCCATCTTGACAAAATTCTATTTAAAGTAACACTGACCTTGTTTTTGAGCCCAGAAGATCAAAACACAAACTTGCATAAGAAGCGATGTTTGTAAACATGTTTGTATTTGTTTTTTTAAATTTCATGACAACCAAATAGGATATGAAGTCTGTGAGTAATATACTTACGGAGATTGGAGGACATGCCCTCGGAATCACACGACATGTGTGAGATGGTCTTTTCCAGATTAGCCCGGAATTCAATCTCGCCCCCAAACTTGTCACGGGATCCATCATCCACGATGACGAAGTGGGTGTGGTTGTGATCTAGTGGTATCGTTTTCTTCCCTTTCTCTGCATCCAGACCTTCTTTAGAGTATATCGCAGGGAAATTTCCATTTTCATCCTATATAATTCAGGTAGAAAAAGATTATTTTACATATCATGATTTTTTTTAGCTTATATTTAAATGTTTCTGATGTGATTTGGTAATGTCATGACATTTATGAGTTCATAATTTTCAATACCATATCGGCTGGTGTTCTGAAACGATTCATCGAATCAAATCATATCGTGATACTTTCTTGTTTTTTTGTTTGCCTGTAAAACCTGTAAAATCCTGCACTCAATCATTACGAAAATTGACTACTTAAATAGATATGTGATACGCCTTGTATCGTAAGCAACTGTACCAAGATATGATACGTATGGTGAGGTTATGTGTGTCATTTAAGCCCTATCCGAAATGTGATGTCATTTCATTGCGAAATATGATCATGAGATGTCGTTAAGTTAACATTTTTTTTCAACATATGGCTTTATTTCAAGATGCCATAGACAGGTCGTATCAGCTTTGTTAAATTTGCATATATCTCATCCTTCAATAGGGTTAATTACTAAATGTAGCTGACCAAACTGACCTCATCTAGAGCGTCCTTATTGGCGATGACTCCCCACAAAGGTACTCCCAGACAGACGATGTCCTTCTGTTTTCCATAAGTGAGGACATACTCTTGAACACCTTCCCCGACGATCTCCATCACACCTGTGTGCGTCCCACCGGTAATGATCCAGGCACCTACGCAACAGTCAAATTTACACTCGTACAAATACCTTTAATATTATAATAATATTTTAACAAATACATTTATATGTTACTATTATAACTTCATTATTCTGGGAATTCACTAATCTTGCCTGCTATAGAAAAGTGACCCCTATATATATAAATGATTTGACCCTTGTTTCTTTGAATCATTAAATAATTACGTTACTTCTTCAGATAAAGTTTTTATTTATGAATAATGAATGTACAATCAATGTGACACAACTTTTCGGAATAAAAAAAGAAGTCTGGAAATGAAAGAGCTTGACAAAGTTAAAACCTTGATACAGTAGATTCCTCTTAATATCACTTCCCATTTGTCAGAAAAAAACATGATATTAACAGAAACATGACATAAATAGAATAAATATTTTCTGACGTCTTTCAGCCCTCAAAACCAGAAGTGAACTTAGTTAAATGCCTAAGTGATGTGGCTCTATACATGTACATATTTCCAAACTGATGCATCACAAAAATGTTTTTCTCATGATAATCCCTCCCAAATCTGTATATATATGCTATCATATTTCTGCAAAAACCCATAAGTTAACACCCTCAATAAGATTCATTAGTTTGGGAAAACATTATATCAAAGTTTTACTTTGTACACAAACAATGTACTATTTAACGTGTCCTAACGTTTCAAGATCGATTAGTTCCTTTGTCAAACTGTACAACGATGTGACGAAATTGTATATTTCATAAGTCACTCGACCCGGGACATGTCCTCTTTTGACAGAAAGTGTATTCCGCCTTTTCACATTGCAGAGTTATCTTCTCTTGTGAGCAGGTATTGATTGTTACGTCATTTGAAAACGACGTAATTTTCTCACACAAACCAATGACGTGTTACAATCAATACCTGCTCACAAGAGAAGATAACTCTGAAATATGCAAAGACGGAATATACACTATTTAATAGGTTACTGGTAGGGCGTAGATCTAGCAGCTTTTTCTAAAGGGTAATAGAATCTGCAAGTTGTTATTTATTTGAAAAAATTGAATTCCTACTGAAAATAAACTGATATATGTATCTAGTACATACCTGTGCTAGTAGCTGCGTTGATAAGGCCACGTTTGAACTTCTCCAACAGTTTTGGTTTCATGTCGAACCTCTTGGCACCCCCAGTGACGGAGATGAGGAGCTTTGGTGTGGGCAGTTTCCAGTAGTTTAGGATGATATCCAGTACCAGCTCCGGCTGCGTGTCATTGGCCAGTCTGATGTACTGTAAAGGAAGGGACATTTATCTGTATCGGCCGTTATATGATCACTGCCCTGGTAGTAGGGAGATATGAAAGTTTGTTTCCTGATATGATTAATACCTACTGAAGGCAAAGTAAGAGGAAAATATCTCCTTAACATCAGGGCAATAGGTTGTTTTTTATAACAAAAAATAAACAAATTGTAAAGGGCATTTTTTTTTTTATTCAGATACATGCATATATAGGCTTCAGAAAAAACATATCTCACTCACCCCAGTTATAGTTATGATATCTCACAGTTAGCTTAGGCTATGTGATTCTTTTCAGAAATCAGCATATCGGGGGTACATGTAATCTATATATCAATATTGGGTGGACAGGTGGCGCAGTGGATAAAGCACCCGCCTTTCTCCAAGGTGGCCGAGGTTTGATTCCCAGATTGGATGCCTTAGTAAAAGGTATGCGATCACCTGCCTGACCGAATGGGTTTTCTCCTGGAACTCGGATTTCCTCCCACATTAATTAAGATCCCCCTTGCGCTAACATCGGGTCATCCGGGCCAACAAGAGTGATAAATATAAGTTGCAATGACTCGTTTCATAATTGTTGCAAAATAAATATAGAGTTTATATTTATATTCATATTAATATCTTTATCACTTTTATTGAAAGAATAGTGGAAACATCCAGCGTGAGACAGATACAGTAAAGCAATGAAGAAACCCAAGGAAGTAAATAAGAAGCGTGAATGACAAAAATGGCATCATTAACTTCTTACTGTGTATGTGTTTATAGTTTAAATTTAGGACTGGTCAACAGAAAACTGATACTCAGGTTAGTGTGACCATTTTTACCCCACTAATCCCCTTCATTTGTAAATTTTTGAGATAATACCTCCCCTTTGCTATGTATATGAAAAATACTTCTGTACAACATAATGATCCTTAATCACGTTCACCGGTGCTTCCATTGGAAGAGTTTTATGCAATCTACCTGTTGTGTAAATGAATGACATCTGAGTACCAAAAGTAGTTCGTTGTCTAGTCCATTATGACCCTGTTTGACTAATTATATCAAATAAGCGTAGGAGTCAATCGCAACAAGCTCAGGATAAGTTGAATCTTATTTATTGGGTATGTCTACCGGTTTCGCCCGAACAGTGGGCTTCTTCAGGACGATTTGATAACAAAATATGTCCCCTGAAGTACTAAAATTCTGGGCACATCTATATTGTGTATAGTGACGTAATACAGGTAACGTCACGTGATATCTATTTATAACGTTCTAGAAAGTTCCATCACGGTTATTATTAGTAGATGAGCATTCTAGTCTATAGTATCAATACCTGAAATACTATCAATGTACATACAATTCATTGACTATTTTAAATATATATGTGTATAAATGTGTATATATAGTTAGACATAAGTACAAGTTTCTTTTATCCCTAAATATTATTAAACTGAGTTATAATGTTCAAGTTCATCCTGACAAACAGTGGATGTGGATAGAGACTTATATCCCAAAGTCTTGTAGTCTCTCATTGCGTAGTCTTCTTCTGATGTATTTGGCGTGGATGCCGTGTATTCACTCTCTGATAATTCTAGGTCAGCCTTGAGTAACTCTATAGTTTCATCTAGTACCGGCCTGAATTGCTTGCAAGGTGGTCCCACTGTAGTTATCCCATGTCCTGGTTTCACTCTGAATTTCACTTGATCTAATTGTCTTTTCGTAAGCACCTCAAATGGGCGTTTGTTGTCTGGTTTGGTTGCCTGTGCTCTGGTGCGGTCTTCAAACTTCCCCGGTTCCACGTGGTATCCCGGTTGTTTGTCCTTGAGGTGTTTCTTGTACGTTTCCTCTCTCCCATAAGAGCGTTTGCAGAGTTTGCATTTATACCATGTTTGTATGAGACCATGTGCTATGTCCGCATGTCTCCGTAAATTCCTGAGATTAATGTACGTCTTCCCGCATCTGATACACGGTAGACTTAGTTTTTTGCCTGTAGTATTACGTTTGCGGCGGGTTGTCTGTTTCGTGTTGGCCATCAAGCTATAATGTTTAAACCTTCTGGTTGAGTTGTACGTAGCATACGAATCCAACTCTCTTCTGTTCTGAGACGACGGTTGGTATCCGTGACGTCCTTAACAATACCCGTAACTATGACGTTATGTATGTTATGATCGGGAGACGTGAAATGTCCCGCCACCGGTTTGTCCGGGTGTTTGTGAATGATACTATATAAATGATTGCGAATGCGTGTATTAATCGTCATAGATGTTTGTCCGACATACTGCATTCCGCATCTGTTACATGATATTAAGTACACGGCATTCACACTTTGGCATGTGATGTGGCCCTGTATTTTGTATTCTATTTTATTAGTGTGAACATGAACATGAATGCGCCAATCTCATAGAGAGGTTCTTGAAAAGAGGATATCCTTTAAACTTATTAACAGAAGCCATTAACATTCATTCCCATAGGACATGTTACATTTCCGTGATACTACAGAATGCCTGACATTCAACCACTACGCGACGGTGTCGGCTTCAGCATCAAAATTTCCCGTGAAGTTGATACCTCACACTGTCAGTAGAACTAGCATAAAACATGTTTTTTGTCATGTTTATAAGGTTAGTTCATTGCTAGAAACTTTGATTAATACTATGTCCGGCTAAGTGTTTCTTTACAAATATAATTTCACTACGAAAGTAAAGAGAACGACCAGTAAATATATAAGAGGCATGTCAAGAAGAAGATGGAAAAAGTCTTTGTTCTGAATGCTGAAATATGTAATTTAAAAGTTCAAATACTGAACACAGTTTTCTTCACTTTCACAGCTGATTATTTCTGTCCTCTTGTTAAACGCATGTTTCAACATTCTGTTACATTATCAAGAAGTTCAAATGTAAATGAACATAGACAACTATTATCCTTATTTTTACAAACCCATCCAAATACATAGTTCAAAGTTTAAACTGAACATCAGTAGTACTGTGGCTGCTGTGAATAGTGGCCTGTCCAACTAAATTTTTAAATTTAAAGTAAAATCTGCTTCTTCAGTATATCTCAACTATGTGGTATTTTGTTTTGTTAACTTTGTGCTATTAAATATATATAATCATATTCGATATATAAAAAAAAACCTGCCAAAGTCAAAACAAAGTTCCTTACTTAAAGATTTTGAGCTTTATTTCATTGATTTAGTTGAGTAAGATAGTCTTTTTACCGTGAAAAAATGCCGCGAATAAAACCTCCCTTATTTTCACCTCAATTCCCTTATAAAAACTGTATAATCACAGATTGGTCTCCAAGAATTCTGGCATGTATGCATGTATGACTGTCTCCCTTTCTGCATCACAGAAATTAACAGTTTGGGTTGTTTTTAAGTCCAAATTTACATGCAGAATTGTTTAAAAAACCTAATGGTTATCCTATAGTGTAGCCAATGTAGTTTATAACTTTTAGTTACACGAAGATGTAGATTGTCATTTTCTCTCTCTCCAAATATCTTCATTGTAAGGGTAAATGTATCAATCATCTGATTACATCATTTTCTGTTGAATAAAAAATCAATTGACTTTTATTCAGAAGGGCAATAAATCTGCACTCTCCCAATGTGAAACATTTTACAGGAGTACATACTGTCAGGAGATATTAAGTTTTGTCTCCCTGTCATATGTTTAAATAATTCAGACACACAGTGACATGGATGAGGTATGATACTAGGACATCTTATTGTAGTATCTCAGACAAAGAAATCTCACCAAAAACCCAGATATTTTTTTTAATTCGTTCAGTTTAACTGAAATCCTTGAAGTCCAAATTAAACCATATTAGGTAGACAGAAAACAAGCAAACATAAAAAATATCAATAAATAAAGAAATACAAAATCATTACCTAATATTTACATATCTACTGAACTTGGACTCAATATACCTACTTAACATTTTAAAGGTTATTTTTCAATGAACTTTTCAGTTGGCGTATGAATACATCAGCATATTATCAACCTGATTACTCTGTTATTCCGCGGAGCACGGGAAGTAGTTCCATTCATAGATTGTTTTCAATTTGTTATATTTTTGTCAGAAGTATTCAATTGAATTCAATTCAAAAGATATTTACATCTTAATTTGCTTATTCATCTTACCAGGACGAGGTCTCACAGTGAGTGATGGCGTCATAAGTGTTGATACCTTCCGTGACTTGCACAAGACCGATATTTTAGAAATTATCCGAACAAATATCAATATCGCTCTGAATGTAAATATAAGGATAGAATCCCATTTTGTTGAGGTTTATGGGGTATAAACCTCAATGGGTCTTGAGACATATTTATAAACCTCAACAAAACAGAATTCAATCCTTAAATAATAGTTGTAACTAAATGATCTTAGTCCTGATCATCAGTGTCACAGGACACTTAGAAAATCAAGGTCAATTAAAGGTTTGTCTTGTGTTGCACTTTCATTATCAGTGCCTCAGAAAAATTTTGTGCAAAAAAGACCAATCTTGTGACAAAATTTAGTCTACCTTCAGAAATATCTCTTTTTAAACCAATTATTCTCTTGTAAGCACATCAACAGCTTACAAACATTTTCAGTAAAACCTGCCTTATAAACCACCTGTCTATAAAAAAACACCGGTCTATTCAGATCGAATTTCCTTTTTCTGTATAAAACATGACATTTGTTCATTCAGATACGTACTCTATTCATAACAGAACTCTGCCTCATTTTGAAGGTTTTATGCCAACCTTCTGTCTTATTTGAAAACATTTTCAATGAATATTGAGAAATGATACAGTAAATGTCTTCAAACTGAGTCAAAATTGTATATCGATCCATCCCATCACATCCCATCACACAACATTAGACTTTCAATCTGTTTCATTCAACAATAATCTGCCACTTCCTTGTATCAAAACCTCTTTGTTTAGGACTCTGCACTGTCATCAACAAGAAGACTGAATTAATTCTATGTGTTTGTGTATGGAAAGCCAGTGCAATATATATCCGAATAAAATTTAGAGGGAATAAACAAATTCCGTGATGCGGTGGGGTTTGGAAATTAAAACATGTATCACAAAACAACTTTTTTTGCTCTTCTGCTTTATTTTGTTATAATTGCCCAAGCAATTTCTTAAAGAATTAGAAAATGTCTGTAAGACATAAATGCCCCCGCTCATGGATGGGACAGGACGGGACAGGACGGGACGGGGCGGGACAGGACGGAACGGAACGGACATGTGCAACACATTTTATGGTGGGGACAAACAAATGCAATTGTGGGTCTTAGTAAATTATCAAATGAATTCATAAAATCTGCTATGCTTATGGGAGGTCAATATTTACGGTCCTGTGCGAAAAAAGATCACCAAAGATGGTTTGTGTTCTTCAGTCAATGATTTTGTACTAATATTACACTGGACTGATTAATGGAATCTTCAGGACTAAACTAAACTAGAACACTGACAGGTCAGTAAGGGCCCCGTCTTGTGGCAATATATCCCCCGTAATCATCAAGAACCAATCTGCCCATTTAGCTGTGCTTGACATCTGACATTTGGACTTCCAATAGAATCGCAAGAAAGCAAAATATACATTTTACATGTACTATGATGTGAGTCTTGTTTCCTTCCACCTCCATATTTGCTGGGCTAACAGAAATGTAAATACCGGTGCAATACTCATTTGTTAGCTTTGATTTGTTTTAATTCACCTTAAATACCTCCTCCACCTCAAAGTCAGAGATCAACATTGTCTTTGACCTTTGGACCCGAAAGACCTTGACCATTAACCCACTGACCCTGATCTTGGGTCAGTTGACTTATTCTTTAATTCCGACCAACTTTGCTTCTTAATATCATAACAAGATGTTCATCAGTGAAAAATACAAAACTTGACCTTGACCCTTTGGACACCGTAGCCTGGACCTAAGGTCAGTTGACTCTGTGTTAAGTTCTGAACAACATTGCTTCATAATGTCATGACAAAATTTTCATCAGGGAAAAAATACAAAATTTAACATTCACCTTAAACCCAGTGACCTTGACCTTTGGTCAATTGACTCCTTGTTTAATTCTGAGCAACATTGCTTCAAAGTGTCATAGTGAAATGTTCACCAGTGAAATGATACAAAATTTAATCTTGACCTTTGACCCAATGACCTTGACCTTTGATCAGTTGACTCCTTGTGTAATTCTGATCAATTTTGCTTCATCATGTCATAACAAAATGTTCATCAGTGAAAAGATGCAAAATTTGACCTTGACCTTTAAATCTAATTACCTTGACCTTTGACCTCAACTTTTTACCTCAGTGTGTCTCTTTGCTTAATTACGAACAACTTTGCTTCATAATGTCATAGCGAAATGTTCACCAGTGAAAAGCCACAAAATTTGACCTTGACACCTGACCCGATGACCTTGACCTTTGGTCAGTTGACTCATTGTTTAATTCTGATCAACTTTGCTTCATAATATCATAACAAAATGTTCATCAGTGAAAAGATGTAAAATTTGACCTTGCCCTTTGAACCTGATGACCTTTACCTTTGACCTTGACTTTTTACCTCAATGTGATTTTTTGTGAACTGAACATCTTGACCAAGTTTCATGTACATCGGTCAATTAATACCAAAGTTATCAGCCAGGAACAAAATTTGTGGACGGACAAACAGACAGACAGACAGACAGAGTGATTGCTATAGGGCACCCGTATCTCCGATAGGGGGCCCTAATAATGTCAAAACGTGACAATTACATTTGTTTGGATTTTCAAGAGTGTAGGGGAGAAATCTCAGTGAATCGGTAGTAAGTTTTACAAGAGGAGGATTGTCAGTGAGTCACTCGTACTTACTGGGGCAGTCAGTTTATCTCGTCCAAAGCCATGGAACTCTATCTCACCATAGGAGTCACATGGCTGCATTTCGTTACGAATTTCTGACTGTATAAACAGGACAGTTATGTAACAGATTGAAGTTGATTGCCAGGATTTCTTTTTTCTAACATGATTTATGTATCTTTTCCACAAAATCAGACGGATCGACAATTAATGCTTCCGTGCCAAACTCTCAACTGCTTTCAGACTGGTGAGTTAAAAACAGTTGGTAAGGTATTTTCAGGGATTAAGGTAACTTTGGAAACTAAATGATCATATAGTTAAAAAAAAAAATATATATGTAAATTTTTACAAGTAAAATGAGTGATAGACTGGAAAAAGATAACTTTTGCCTCAGACTACCAATTGCAATTAAAAGCTATCCAATATTCACCCAATGTTTTAACATGTATGTCAAAGTACAGTATCACTTACAGGGGAAGACTCTGTATCGTGCCCGTAGCCATGGAACTCAATCTCCCCGTAGGAGTCGCAGGGCTTCCTGATGGTGTGTGTATGGTAGTGCCACACATGCTTGCCTTTATCCATGTTGGAAAAGTCTTTTCCTGCATTTCTGTAAAACAAACAGCTCTGTATAAAGTACAAAACCTTGACTGTCAAAATATAATAGTTTCATGAACACTGTAAATCAGTTTAAACAAAAATAACAAATTCTTTGATTAACCATCTAATATACAAACTTTATCAACAAGTTTTCCCAACATAAATTAATCCTTTTTGCTGGCCTGGATGTTAATTAGGGCAGAGGGTCTTGATGTGGGAGGAAACAAGAGCACCTGGAGAAAACCCAAAAGCTCAGGCAGGTGACCTAAACACCTTTTCATGTCAGATCAGGAAATCAAACCCCGGCTGTCTTTGTGAAAGGCAAGTGCACTATCCACTGTGCCACCAAACCACCCAATTTCATAAACAGAGGGTATAAATTACGTCCCCATTTATGGCATATAATTTTTATGAATTGAGAGTACCCAACACACTACGTAAAACAGAGCTAACACTTCCTTCCCCGAGCTTGTTGTAGCATACACAACACACTACGTAAAACAGAACTCAGACTTACTTCCCCGAGCTTGTTGTAGCATACACAACACACTACGTAAAACAGAACTCAGACTTACTTCCCCGAGCTTGTTGTAGCATTCTCCTGTATTTTAGGTTCTCTCTGTAGGATATTTTCTTTCACAAAATTTGTAAACCCAATCTGGACGATGACAAAATAGAACACTACAATTATACATTAGTGTATTACTCAATTATCAGTAATCACACAAGAACAGCAATCTACCTCAAAAGTGTATTATTTCAATCGAAATTAAACTTCTTAAAAGAACATAAAGAGATCAAATTGGCATTCATCTGACCGCCAGTTACTTGTTAAGTTCTGACAATGGAAGTTGGTAAGGTTTTGAGAAAACATGGGAGGAAAATGTGAATCATGGCTTTGCCAAAACTTATTAAATCAAAAAAGTTTTGATAAGGGACTCTACTTTTAAATCTTGGAGCCTCAAAGAGAATGCAATCTGTTTCTTTTGTGACACAGAATTAAACAGAGTTAAAATGAAACATCAATAAATTCTAGCGACAGTTATCAAATTTGAACAAAAAAAGTCTGTGAGTAAATTCTACATACCCTGTCTATGCCTACTTTGGTCTTTCTTTTGCTTGACGAACGTTTGATGGTGAAGCTGTTGGTTGTATCGTTTCTTGTGACAGGCGGATGGAAGCCTTTCAGACTTGCTAGCGAGTCCTCTCTTTTAAGTGTGTATGTACCGTTGCTTTGAACCGATTCTGCCTCGTGTTTGTCCACCGATACATCTACAGATCTCTCAAACGACGGATTGGAATGTCCTTCTACGGTAAAAGTCCCTGTGCTATCTCTAGAACCAGATCCTTTCTTAGATTTCCTCTTTTTTCCGGAAAACTTTCCTTCTGATTTTTTAGGTGGCGAGCCATCCGTATCGTCCATCGGTATATCCGAGTCTTCTCTATTGTGTTTGTGCTTTTTCTTTCTGTGTTGTGCTTTCTTTGATTTCCCTGACGGAGTGTATTCCCCGCAGAATGGATCGTTCTCGGCCAGCTGATCCACCATTTTGTTATAATCTGTTTGTGAATTGTAGCGAGGTGTGCGGGACAATGACTCTATATAAGTGTCTGTTAACTGACGTTCTACCGGTCCTGGTTTTGATCCTTCCCTTTGACTGCCAATGAGGTCAGATTTCATCCTCAGCCTCTTTACTGGGGTTGTCTCCCCTGCGGCTTGATCGCCCTTGTCTATGTGCCTGGAGTTTGATGGCCCAGTAACTTCCACCAGCTCATTTTCTGGTGGGTAGTGATGGGGAGGATCCACATCACCGTCCCGATCCCCCCTGTAACTGTTGCTAAACATCCTTTCGCGGGTTGGGCTGTATATGGTGCTTTGTGATGTATCCAAGTTACGAAGATCGGCTATATTGTCCAACGCCCTGTCCGACTTGACACTAATTCTACGTCGTAGATATTCTGCTTCATCTTGGTTCATATTCTACATGGTTCTGCATATATATAGCCTGTAAAAACACAAAACAAAAACACAAGTTATTAATTAATTAAATTATTAGCAAATAATTGTATTATTTATAATATTTTATGATTTTTTTTTTGATTTTTTTACATTTCAACAATTACGAAACAAGTTAATCACTCTTGTTGGCCCCGATGTTAGTGCACAGTGTGTCTTAATGTGGGAGGAAACCAGAGTACCTGGAGAAAACCCACATGGTCGGGACCCCATACCTTTTCACGTCCGATTGGGCAAGTTCACTATCTACTGCGCACCGACCACCCAATATTTTAACATAATATTTTATGAACCCAACAATAGGACGTTTTAACAGAGGAACCCTTTATTACCAACTGGAGACATAAATCGCCCAGTTAAGCAGTCATACAGAAAACCGAGAAATTCATTGGATGATACATCCGACCTAATAATACTTGAAAGTTTGGATAACAAACTTACTAAGTATTGCTAAAGCAATACATGTCCCCTACCGGCCCCCGCTAGCTATTACACTTTAATGATTTATAACAAGAGGTCCATTTGACCTGTATCATTCACCTGGTTTTATATTTAAGTCATTACAACTGAATGCATTAGTACATCTTTATATGAAATTTCCTCAAAACCAGACAAGATCTATGTTCTAACCCAACTGGGACCACAATATCTGACTTTCAACTGATCAGGGGCCTCCATTGAGTTGCCATGTTAACAGATTTTGAAATAAGTAATATGTCATATTACAGAGTGTACTTAGACAATGCTTTAAATTTCATTTAACTATAAGCTTTCAAAACCTAGAAATCAATTTTTAACAATTTATGAAAACTACACCAATTTAGCTGTACCATTTCCTATGACCACAGGGGTCAAATCAACCTCATTCAATTAAGAAATGTTTGTTCTTCCTCAATAATGTTTTTGACCAAATTTTGTACAATTCACTCAGGCAATTAGGGGATATTAGCGTCTTAAAGCAAAATATAAGATAATTTTCCTCTTTGAGGCCCGGTCTTCTTGGCCCCAGGGGTCAAATCAGTCTCATTTATTTAGGAAATGATTGCTCTCCCCCAATGAAGTTTCAAGAGCAAATTTGGTTGAAATCTTCTCTGGCGTTTAGGAGGAGATACATTTTAAAGCAAATTTAGCTAAGTTCCCCCCCCCCCCCCCGCCCAACCACCTTCGGACCAGGTGAGCTAAACATGGTGCCCTTCGGGGGTAAAAAATTCCATAAGGAATGAAGCCGCTAGAGTGCTGACAAGAATTTTCTAAAAATAGTAACGGTTACTTTGACCTGACATCCCTGAAACTCGAACTTGTCCGAGATATTATGGTCCTTTGTAATTGTGTGAAGTTTGATCCAAATTCCTCAAGGAATGAAGACCAAGGGCGCTGACAAGGATTATCTAACAAGAGGCCAAGAGGGCCTGTATCGCTCAATTGGAAATGTTAGCAAAATTGAACTTGAAATGTTGCTGTACATGTATTACATGGTTAGTCAGAGGTTATATTTATATGCAATTGGACAAAATCCTGTCAATCCTACAGGAAAAGGAGGATTTGAAGAATTTGCTATGTTTCCACAATTGGGCCCCTCCCCTCTGCCCCAGGGGGGTCAGACCCACCGTTGATACAAAATTAGTTCCCTTTCACCCAAGGATGCTTTAGACCAAATATGGACATGATCCAATCATTCCTACAGAAGAAGAATTTTAAAGCTATTTTTCTATTTTCCCTATTTGGCCCTGCCCCTTTGCCCCAGGGGGTTAAAACCCACAGTTTATACAAAATTGCCTCCCCTTCATCCAAGGGTGCTTCGTCCAAAATTTGGACAAAATCCTGTCTGTCAGAATTTGCTATGTTTTCACTGTTGGGCTCCGCCCCTCTGCCTCAGGGGGTCAGACCCAAAGTTTATACAAAATATAGTTCCCTTCACCAAATGATACTTTAGACCAAGTATGGACAAAATCCTGTCAATCCTACAGAAGAAGAAGAATTTTAAAGAATATGCTAAATGACCCCTATTGGGCCCCACCCCACAGGCCCCAGGGGGGCCACACCCACTGTTTATACCAAATTTATTTCCCTTCCCCATAGGATGCTACTGTTCAAATTTGATCAAAATACCTTCATCCCAACAGAAGGAAAAGGATATTAAAGCTATTCATCTATATTCCTTATTGGGCCCGCCTCTCTGACCCCAGGAGGGTCAGGCCAACTGTTTATAAAATATTGGTTCCCCTTCACCAAAGGGTGCTTCATACCAAATGATAGAGCGCTGAAAACCATTAATGTTACGTACGTACATACATACGTACACAGACAGACGGAGAGGAAAACTAGAGTCCCCCACGGTTTCACCAGTTGGGGACTAATAAGCACTATACTGTAGTAATAAATCTAAAATTAAAATTTCATTTCACAAAGTTGGAATATTTTGGACACCCAGTAGTACCTTTTCAATGGTTTCAAAAACTTTGAAATAAAATTACAGGTTTTACTGTCACATTTGGTTTTGAACAACTAGCTGTATTAATTATAGAGTACAAAATGTTCAAATCCTACCTCGTAGGTGATCTTGAAGTACAATGTACAGTTACTGCATCCGAAGAATTTATACCCTTTAAAAGCACGATATATAGCCTATTTAGGCAACTTTAAAATCACTCTGCAACGTCTGGTGAATGTCTATACAATTGCTTTTTTTATAGCTACCAAATATTACAAGAGGCCCAATTGGCCTGCATCTCTCACCTGGTATTGATCGCACACTTGTAACCATAAAAGTGATCTAAAATAAAGCTACAGGCAAAATATCAGTATTTATGACTATAAGTCATTTAAAAAAACTGTTAAAAGATTAAAAAAAAATTGATCCCTGTGACCTTGACTTTGAACAAACTTTATAGCTCTTTATCTTACAGCTCTTCATCTCAGCAAGCAACTTGCCAAATATCACCACCCGAGACCATTTGTCTAATGAGATAAGGTTATTTAAAGCTTTTTACATATTTGACCAAATGTGACCTTGAAAGTGGGTCAAGGTCTTTCAAATGACTTGATAGCTCTTCATCCAAGCATGTTACTGGCCAAATATCATCATTCTGGGCCTATTGGTTATTCAGAAGAAGTCGTTTAAAGATTTTAAACAAATTTGTCCCCTGTGACCTTGAATACAAGTCAAGGTCATTCATTTGAACAAACTTAGAAGTTCTTTATCCCAGCATTTTACTGGCCATTTATCAATATTCTGTGCATTTTGGTTATTCAGAAGAAGTTGTTCGAAGATTTTGAACATATTTGACCGCTGTGACCTTGAATACAGGTCAAAGTCATTCATTTTAACAAACTTGGTAGCCCTTCATCCTAGCATGCTACTGGCCATATATCGCCTTTTGGTTATTCAAAACATCTTTAAACAAATTTGATCCCTGTGACCTTGAATACCAGTCAAGGTCATTCATTTAAAAAAACACTTGATAGCCCCCCATCATAGCAAGCTACTGGCCAAATATCATGCTTCTGTGCATTTTGGTTATTCAGAAGAAGTTGTTTGAAGATTTTGAACATATTTGACCCCTGTGACCTTGAATACAGGTCAAGGTCATTTCTTTTCGCAAATTTCATCAGACATTATCCTAGGAACATATCAGCCAAATAGTATGCTTCAGGGCCTTTCAGTTAATCAGAAGATGATTAAAGGTTTTAATAAATTTGACCCTTGTGACCTTGAATACGGGTCAAGGTCATTTCTTTTAGCAAACTTTGTCAGGCTTCATCCTATTGAACCTTTCAGCCAAATATCACGCTTCTGGGCCTTTTTGGTTAATCAGAAGAAGTTGTTTAAAGGTTTTAACAAATTTGACCCCTGTGAACTTGAATATGGGTCAAGGTCATTTCTTTTTGCAAACTTTGTTTGGCTTCACCCCAGCAACCAACCAGGCAAATATCATGACATTTGGCATGTTGGTTATTGAGAAGAAGCTGTTTAAATGGAAAAGTTGACGCCAGACGGGAGCCAGACGGAAGTCGGACGATGGATGCCGCGCCACAGCATAAGGTCGAGGGCCCACTTGTATAAAACATCTCAACTCTTGAGTGTAAGATTTCCCATAGACAATACATTGCTTGAGATTTTCCTTAACTTTGAGATGTTTTATACGGTGTGTTCTCCTTTCTCCCACTTTTTAAAAAAAACATAGAGGCAGTAATGTTGTGATAGCAGTTATAGTCTGTTTCGTATATATTTTACCTGGTTTTTACCTGTGTTCTCCCACATTACCTGTATCATATATACAGTCCTGTCATATACATGTAGCTTTGATATAGTCTATTTTCATCATTTTTAGACATTTATTTCCTTATAATATACCATTTTCATCACCTAGATCAATACAAAACAATACCATGAAATCCACAAATATTTTATATATTTTATATATTTAATAGTATATATATAGATGATAATGCTTTGATTAATCAAAATTTTAATTTTTTAAATTTTAATTTAAATTGATTTAATTTAGGGCNATTTGACCCCTGTGACCTTGAATACAGGTCAAGGTCATTTCTTTTCGCAAATTTCATCAGACATTATCCTAGGAACATATCAGCCAAATAGTATGCTTCAGGGCCTTTCAGTTAATCAGAAGATGATTAAAGGTTTTAATAAATTTGACCCTTGTGACCTTGAATACGGGTCAAGGTCATTTCTTTTAGCAAACTTTGTCAGGCTTCATCCTATTGAACCTTTCAGCCAAATATCACGCTTCTGGGCCTTTTTGGTTAATCAGAAGAAGTTGTTTAAAGGTTTTAACAAATTTGACCCCTGTGAACTTGAATATGGGTCAAGGTCATTTCTTTTTGCAAACTTTGTTTGGCTTCACCCCAGCAACCAACCAGGCAAATATCATGACATTTGGCATGTTGGTTATTGAGAAGAAGCTGTTTAAATGGAAAAGTTGACGCCAGACGGGAGCCAGACGGAAGTCGGACGATGGATGCCGC